TATCATCCTCTGTCCTCCCCTCCTTGCCTCTTTTTCTTTAATTTCAGCATATTGCGGGGCTACCAATGTTTAGGTTGCATTTATTGCCTTTGCCCCACCCGAGTCAGAGCCTCAATCCCCCCAGACGGTGCTCACCGCACCCCTCCTTGCCTCTTCTTGAGAGAAATCCACAAGCACTGCCTCTCCTCCATGCCCGGTCTCTGCCCAACTCCCCAGTCTCTGAAATGGTCAAATGGTCTCCTCCTCTCTTGCTCTCCTGCCCACATTCCCAGCTCCAGCCTGCATGAACCTTTCCAGGATGCTGGTAGGAGCCCCATGAAGAAACCCACTCTTCACCTCCACTTTGTACTTCCGTTCGTCTGTGCCTGTGCTCACTCTACCCCACAGGGATTGCCTGCCCCCGCCCCCATCTCCTCCTGCTCCAGTCCGGCACACCTTCCAAGTCTGGATCCAATCACTCCAGCTGGGAGCGCTCACCCCTTCCTCTGAATTTTATGATCCTCTTTTCTACAGCACTTTTGATTTAAGTGCATGTCTTGCCTTTCCCAGGCTGTAAATAACTAGATTCTTTTTCAATTTATCTTTGCATCACCTACAGGGCCTTGTGCAATCAATCAATGTCTGTTGAATTGTTCACTCACTGACCTCCAGCTTGATACTTAACAAGAGTATCTTCTTGCATAAGCTACTTGGATAATCTCAGATCTTTTTGCATAAACTCAGCCAAAGGTTTCTAAGTTCTTGAATCACCTGCTGTCCTGTTGATAGGAACTGAGTCCACCAAAACTCACCTTAGAAAACTGCCTGCCCTCATACAGAACCACATCTGGTCTTCCAGAAGCAGGCCAAGTGCACACTTTCTAGAAAGTCAAGCAGTTTTGAGAGCAGAGAGAGGGAACATTAGAGATGTGGCTCAGTATAACTACTGTCCTAGATACGAAGCATTCATTAAGGTGGTAGAAATTCACTCACATGTTAATTTGTCCTACTAAATGTTCCTAGTAACTTTAATTTAATAGGTTCGGTCAGCTATGGTTTGGAACATTAACATTGATAGTATTTAAAAGCTCTTTGTATTCTATCTCAAGTTACTTTTTCTCAGGAGAATGGTGATTGAATACATAAAAAGCCTTTAGTAAGAGACATATGATGGTCTCTTATAAATGTTAACTGAGCACGGCAAAATGCTTAGCTCTCAGGTGCTAGGTGAAGTACACATCTTTGCCAGGGATTTTTGGAGTCACTCATCCTTATTTATCTTCATAAGCCTTAAATACACCATGCACAATAGGGGTTCTATCTCAATCTTTATTTTAGACAGTGTGAAGACAAAGTGCATTACACTTTCAAATCACTTGTACATTATCTCATTTAAGTTTTACAATAGTTCTCTGCAACGGTATTGATCCCCTTCTGCAGTTGAAGAAATTGAGACTTGAAAATTTCATTAACTTACCCAACAATTTGTTTAACTATAAACCTCAATGCTAAAGATTCTATATAAACACTATGTAGTATAGAGAAAGCAATGACATTGGCACTCATGAATATTGCCAGTGGAATGATACAATGAAAAAATGTTTCCAGAAAGCAATTGGATACTATGCATTAAAAATAAATAAATATGTATATGTGTGAATATATGTATATGTATATATGTTATATATGTGTGTATGTATAATATATATGCACATATAATACATTAACCCATACAAAGATGTTTATTATAATATTATTTATAATAATGGTAAATAATAAACAAAAAAAGAATGTCTGAGTAATAATATAGTCATAAGACATAGTCCTTACAAAGAAAATTCTAAATGGTTTTTAAGATAATAAAATAGCCAGCTATAATATTAAGTGAAAAAAGGGTAGAAATCAGAATATATACTATGATTCCAATTCAAAAAGGTGTGGAAAGCACACCAAAATATTAACAGTTGCTTTTGCTTCTGTATAGTTTTCTGTTTTCAAAATTTTCTATGAAGTTCAGATGCTACTTTTATAATCAGAAAAAAATGTCATTCCAAAACAACAAATAAATTTTTTAAAAAATTATGTCCACAGTTGCACAAGAACTAAAATAAAAAGCTAATCTTTTGCTTCCAACTCCAGAACTCTGGCCCCTGCACCAACTTGCCTTGGTGCCCAGGTGCATGAGCTGCCACATAAACTACACCAACACCACAGAGGCATCAGCCAACTCTCGAATGGATAATAAACCACTGTTAAGCTCATTGTATTAGACTGTTTCATTGTACAGTCTTATGTTGACACAGTCCAGGAAAGGGGTCACAACTACTTACCACAAGACCAACATGCACTTCCTGCCCTGCTTCCTACAGTTTTATTTCTTAAACATGCCAAGACTGCTGAAACCCCTCTACTTCTAATGCTTTTTTCCAGCCATTTAATAATATCCTTTGTTTCAAATATAGGTTCATAGGATCTAGGAATAAAGCAATCCTCAAATCTCTCATGAACTAGAATTAACCTGCTATAAAATATTTTAATTGCATCTTCCCAGAAAGGAAATTGGAGTTATTGTCCTCTAGCAATTCCTTTTTGATGACCATTAACCAAAGACCCACAAAATTCTTGCCAAGAGCAAATTCGTAATGTCCTCAAGGTCTCTTCAACTCACTTCATAGTCTATTCTTTAAGTAATGTTTTACAGATGGACTGATTTGTCAATATTTTATAATGTAATCACATTTACTTTCTACATACAGGTGTCTAATGGAGATACTACACTTGAGCCATACTGTTAAAAGAAAGGAAATTGGAGGTCCAGAAAAACTTTCTGTAGCTTCTTGACAGCCAACATCTATAAATGAAAGAAAAATTTGGGTGGCTTGAGGAATCACACATTCTATTGTTTACATTAAAATTTGAATAGATCGCACCATCGGTCATTGTCGTTGTCCAGTAATCTCAAGGACTCGAAAGAGGTAAGTAGTTCCAACATTTGGAATGTAAGAAAGGAGCTGGCAATGAGAAGAATTGTGTTAGTTTTCTGAGCTATGCAAACACAGAGCTTCTCACTAAATTTATTTAATTTAAAAATGGACTTAGGTCCAACTGCATACACTAGTTTCTTCCTGGGAAAAAATATCATGTTGCAAAAATAAAAGAAGATGAGACATTTTCAATTTTTGATGATGTAAATTAAACACAATCTTCACTCTTTTTCAGCATAGTCACTAAGCAAGAGAAACACAATGCTATTGTCAAACAATGATTAAGAATATTGTGCCATAGATTATCATGTATGCATTAAGTTTGAATAATGACTCATACAATCTTTTCTTATTATAGGACAAATTGTTAGTGTTTAAGTAAAGCAGAAAAAAATGGAGATTTGCTTTTCTCCAAAAGTTTCTCAGTAAACCTGGTTACCTTAACTAATATTCATTCCACTCTGACTTGACTAATGCTATTCCAGTGTCAGATAATAGAGAAAGAATTTTGTGATACTGTATTAACTTAAGGGACTAGAGTAAGTCAAGAGATATTTTAGGGAAGGAAACCATTATCGTGGCTTTCCTTTGCCACTTAACTCTTTTTTTTCTGGAGGCTGTTTAGTAATAGCTTCAAGATTTATAGGTATGAGGTCGGTAATGATTTGAGGTATGAGATATGTGATGATATACGTCCCCAACACTGACAAGCTCATACAGGTTTTCTTTGAACAACACTATCCTCCTTGGGTCTTCTCTCCACGAACCTCAAATGTGGGCATATAGCTTATGCAAGAGCTTCAGACAAGTCACTCCGGCCATGAACATTAAATGTATTTCACAGAACATTTCCAGAAGCTTAATTTTTTTCTACTTTTTAAATATGGGTTTTTGTATAGTGACTTAGATTTAGAAGCATCAATTTTATTATTGCCTAGGAAACAGAAAAATGAAAGTAAGTTGAGGCACTCTGAAGTGTACAGTCCAATAAGTTTTTATTCTATATGCATCGGTTAGCTCAATTGCTAAATAAGTTTTCCTGTAGTGTCTTTTTGGAATTAAAAATATAAAATAGAGACAGCTCAGAGCATACTGAATGCTTTGATAAATAGACTACACTGCAGAATTTCTATGCTACCACACAGCCTCTACAAAAGAAGTTTTCTATATTTTGACCATTTCATTGGAATCATTTTTCATTTCTAATGGGTTTTTATTACCATGTAATGAAAATAGCTGTCCTAGGCTTTATTTTCACAATAGTTTTTGTTACAAAATTATCTTTAATTCCTAAGAATTTTTTTGTACAAATATAGGAAATAAGCATCCTTAAATTTCAGGACTGCATGCAATTTACTCAGCATACTTTGCCTTCTAACATTGGGATTTGTGAAATTATCCTTTCTTTCTCTGCTTTATTTAAAGCTGAGACTGAGAAAAGAATAGAAAAAAAAATCTATAGAAATTTGTCTTATATTTACCATGCTTTAAAAAGTGCTTTTTTTTTTTCCTCCTGATGTTATCTGTCTTAGCCACGAGACTCAGATCCCTGTATTGGTGGCCGGTATATTCTACTCTGCACCTATGTGGCCAGCCTGAACCCTCACTCAAAAGTTCATACTGTTCAACTACACACTGTTCAAACAGGCACAACAAATATCCTTCCCTCATCCCCAAGTTCTCAGGATAAACCATATGCAGAAAGATTGCAAAGTCGTTTTAGTTGTTGTTTTGAAAGGGAGCATTTTTCTACAGTCTGTAAACTCCTCTGATTTTTACCTAACAACACTACTCTTTGTCCTGTCAGGTCTTAAGCATCTACTGCCTCCTTATGAGGGGTCTTTTCTAACAATTCAGAGAGCATTATTTGCCATCATAGCAAGATCCTGTTCTTTGTGGTTACACACTCTGAAATGCCAATCATCTGTAAAGCAATTAGAGCCTTTACGGTTTCAGCAGCTCGGGGAAGAAATCAAAGCACCCACTCTCCAGCGCACCTGGCGGCGCCTCCCAGGGCGCGCGCAGACCCGGGCTTACCTGTGCGGCATGCCGGTGGTGTGGGCGGTGGTGTGCTCGCTGGACAGGTCGCACAGCTTCAGGTACCAGTTCATCTCCACTTCCCGCAGCAGAGCCAGCTGCCGTGCCCTGAGCTGGCTCTGCCCTGAGGGACTGAGGCTGCTGTCTTTACCATTTTCTGAGGCTTTCTTGGGAGATTTGTCTTTCCCCGTTCCGGAAAACCCAGACTGTTTCCTTAACTTGGTGCTCTCTTCTGAGATCTGGCTCCCCGCCGCCCCTGTCCGGGCTGCCAGCATCGTGGAGATTCGCGTCTTTCAGAGAAGACTCCAAGTGACTGTCATCAAAGTAATTTGGATTGATTTTTCTGCGTCTGCCTCCCTCCTCTTCCCTGCCCAGCCCACCTCACTTAACCTTATCCTGCCACAAAGCTGTAATTGAGCCCAGCCTGTGACTCCGATGAAAGGCTATCTCTAACCTTTCCTGACTACCTGTGATATCCTGGAACATGGAAATTTTAAAAACAGCTCCAAAAAACTTTGCGATGCTTAAGTTTTGTAGTGCTGTTGCTTCCACAAAGTTTGGACTTCTGCTTCATTTAACAATGATAACTTTGAACCTTAGATCATTAGGGTTTGGTAAATTATATTTGATCATCCCGTTAGAGGTATAAAAGAATATATCTGGAGACTCATTAACCACTCTTATGTGGAGTCTTTTTGGTGCTTTAAAAGTTTTAATGTGAATTTCCTCAAATAAGTTTGACTATATCAATGCAAGGGGAAAGTTGTTCCTTTTGTGTAAACCTTAAAATAAAATTTTAAATTTATTTTATATTCCTTTGGGAAAGGAAGGCTTTTTGAATGTCAGTGAGCCACATACTATATGTCAAGCACTCTTTCATTCCTAACGTAAGAATGGTGAGCCCACCAAACCGGATTCAGTAGTTGGCCCTCCAACACTTCTGACAGAGGGAAGGCACGAGAATCATCTTATAATTGGGGAAACTGAGGCCAAAGTTGGAGCGAATAAATAGAAGAAAGGGAGGATGTGGAGGGGCCTGTTTGTGTGTGGATGTGTGTTTGTGTGTGCATGTGCATGAGTGTTTGTGTCTTTGTGTGTGTGTGTGTGTGTATTTGTGTATTCCCAGTGCTCATGAAAACTAGCTCTAAAGAAGGAAAGAAAGTTTGGTTAATAGCCCTATAGTTAAGATGCTTGGGATAGCCTCACACATGCCCAAGGGTCTGACCTCCATTCCAGCTCAGGAGATAATGATGTCAGTGCCACCTAAATGTTGACCACAAAGTTGTTTCGTGACACATTAAGCCCCAGGCACACACATTCCCTGCCCCCCAAATCCAACTAAGTCTCTCCTATATCAATGGTCCCAGTTCCTGCTGCATATAAAGAACTTCAGAAAGTGTGTGAATTTTCCTGTCCATGACAAGACCATAAGTTAAAAATTGCAGAGGTATAGCAAGGTCCCAGAACCCCTGAAAAGGGCAAGAGAGGAAGAAGAAAATAAAAAAGGCTCTTCTTAAAGAGACAGAAAGGATCAGTAGGCTCTTCTGTAAAGTATGTCAAGGTCTTTGAGGATCCCCGTGGCTATTAATTAATCAAAGCAGGGAATGAGAGGACAGCAAATCCCACCGCATGGACTCTCCACATTCAGGTAAAAGCTGTTCGATGTTAGTATTTGGGATAGTCTAGGGTTAGAACTGTGACCACCAAGCAATGTGGAGCCTGAAACATGTATCAGGAGGCAGGGGCAGCTGATACTGAGTATCACGGTCAGTCCAATCTGAAGCTGTGGGGTCTGAGGAACTCTTAGCACCAGCAGGTTGTAGCTTCTCCACCTCCTCCCCTTGTCCCCACCCCTGGAGTCACTGAGGACTTCTGGCAACATGGTATCCATGGCAACCAGGCTCCCCAAAGTGTAGACTCTGGGGACAATCTCCTCAGTTTGATATTCTTGGAGTTATGTCAACAGGGGGCTCTGCAATGGAATCGGGGAGGGGACACTATGCTCATTCAGGCAAGGAGACAAAGGGCTTCACTCACTTGGATTGCCTTTCTGGAGTCAGACTGCTTGGGTTTGAATCCTAACTTCATCACTTACCTGCTCTGTGATCTAAGACAAATTGCTTAACTCCCCTATGCTTTAATTTACTCATTTATAAAATTAGGGATAATTATCTACTTGTGGCAGTGTTAAATTCTTTGACACTCCTTTCATTAAAAAGTGGGGTCTGTTTCCCCTCCCTTTGAATCTGGGTGGGCTTCTGACTGCTTTCATCAGTGAAATATGGTGGAAGTGATACTATGTAACATCCCCACTTAAGTCAGAAAGGCATGCAGCTTTCACCCACCACTCTTGGATCTTCATTCTGGGGGAAGCCAGCTGTCATGTAAGGAACCTGACTACCTTAATATGACCATGCTGAGAGCCACATGCAGGCTCTCTGATCAATAGCCCCAGCTGGGCTCCCAGACAACAGCCAGCATCAACTCCCAACTCTAGCCAGCTTGGGCGTACTGCAATCTATCCTTAGATGACTGTGGTCCCAGCCAACATCTGACTGCAACTGTATGAGATATCCCAAATGAGAATAGCCCACCCATGCCCTTCCCAGATTCCTAACCCACAAAATTATAAGCTAAATAAAATGGTTGCTTCATTAGCACCATTAAGTTTTGGTGTTATTTATTATGCAGCAGTAGTAACCAGAACACTGCTTACACCCTTATATTATAAGCATTTAACAAGATATATGTGAAATATTAATATTTAGGACAATGCCTAGTGTGTTAACATTCAATATGTATTGATATTTATTCTCCAGGTTAGATATCATTGCAGCACTAAAATTCAAACTTTCTGCTTATGCTCCCCTATTAAAAATTTGCAAAACTAAGTATCAACTTAAGCACTTTTAAGTATAGAACATTGTTCATCACAAATTAAGTAGGTCATGCACTGCATAATAACATTTTAGTCAAGAACAAACTGCATGTAGGACAGTGGTCCCATAAAATTAAAATGGAACTGAAAAATTCCTATCATGTAGTGATGTTATAATTTCCCTAACATTGTAATGCAACACATTACATTTTCAGTGTTTAGATACACAAATACTTACAATTGTGTTACAATTGCCTACAGTATTAGTACAGCAATACGCTGGACAGATTTGTAGCCTAGAAGCAATAGGCTCTACCGTATAGCCTAGGTGTGTAGCAGGCTATACCATCTAGGTTTTTTTGTAAGTACACTCTGTGATGTTCACATGATAAAATCACCTAATGATGCATTTCTCAGAATGTAACCCTGTCATTAAGCAACACATGACTGTAGTTGCAAAGAATGCAATGTCTAGCATATTGTGTTATCATTTTAAAATAAAGTTGTTACATCACTATCTTAAAAGTATCCAATGGAATTAAAATTCCATAGCTATTTGATATCTACCTTTGCCCATTTAAAAAATTCATGAACAAAGCTCTTCTTTGGCAGTTGGAAATTTTACTTTCTTCCTTTTTTTCCCTGAACTAGTTTTCCCAGTTCTCATCCAGAATTTTATTCTGGTAGATAATATTTGTATCCTTGAAAATATTTTACAGATGATTCTATCAAATAATTTTCTGCAATGAAAACATAAATAAAAATAAAAATTTTAAATTATTATTTTCTATGTCCCTAAGACTGTGTTATTGAATGTCTTGGGGATTGAGTTATCATGACAATTATTATTACATATAATTGACCAAATGAAGATTTTAAATTTTGGATTATTTTTTGCTTAACATGAAAAGTAAAATTTATTGGAAAGCTATCTTTTAATGACATGTATGGAACTAGGATCTTTTTTGCTGAATTAGGTCATGTATCCATAGAATACTATTTACTGGAAGAATGAGATAGAATTCAGCATTAATCGTATTTCCATTTTTTTCATTTTTAAAGATATGTGTTCTGAAAAATTTTGTTTACATAAATAAATTAATGGAAATGGAAGGCTTTTTTTTTTTTTTTTTTTTTTTTTTTTTGAGACAGAGTCTCACTCTGTTGCCCAGGCTAGAGTGCCATGATGCTAGCCCAGCTCACAGCAACCTCAAACTCCTGGGCTCAAGCAATCCTCCTGCCTCAGCCTCCTGAGTAGCTGGGACTACAGGCATGCACCACCATGCTCAACTAATTTTTTCTATATATTTTTAGTTGTCCAAATAATTTCTTTCTATTCTCAGTAGAGATGGGGTCTTGCTTTTGCTCAAGCTAGTCTAGAACTCCTGACCTTGAGCGATCCTCCCACCTCAGCCTCCAGAGTGCTAGGATTACAGGTGTGAGCTGCCACGCCCAGCCAGAAAGGTTTTTTTTATTATAGTGAAATCATTTGGTTCTTTAAATGTCTTCTCAGCTATATATTAAAATCACAGTGATGTATCATGTTAACTGATATATTTTTAAATATAAATGTAAAAATGGTGATGTATCCTTCACAAACTGTGAGATGGAGGGCTTTTAGAAGGCTATAACAGAGGAGTGAAATCCTGAGATTTACGTATTAAAAGGATCACTCACTATTGTGCTGAGAACAAACTGTTGGGGGTCAAGGGAAGAAGAAGGGGGGTTGGAGGGGGTTGGAAGCTACTGCAATGATCTGGGTGAGAGACAGTGTTGGCTTAAACCAGGGTGGTGAACAGTAAAAGTTATAAAAAGTGGTCAGACTCTGTGTATATATTTTGAAGATGGAAAAGAAAGAATTTCTTGGTATATTGGTACAAGGAAAGTAGTTTGAAAGAATGAAAGGGGTTGAGAATGACCCGAAGGAGTTTAGCCTGAGCCACTTTCTAGAACTGGCAAGGTACCAGAGAATCAAGTCTTCTGGGTGGGTATTATGTAATAGAACAGTTGCTTTTGTATTACTCACAGATTCACTATTTCTGACGCCTTTCATTTCTTCCTGAGGATCCAAATTGCCATCAATTATTATTTCCCACAGTCTGAACAACTTTCTTTGACATTATATATCTACTAGCAACAAATTCTCCCTTATCTGAAAATGCTTTTCTCGTTTTCATTCTTAAGGGATATTTTCTCTAGTTTTTTTGTTTGTTTGTTTGTTTGTTTGTTTTGAGCACTTTAAAGATGTTTTTCATTGTCCTCTGGCTTTCATATTTTCTGATAAGAAGTCGGCAAGCAGTCAGGTCCTTTTTCTCTCATTTGCAACGTGCTGGTTTCTGCTGGCTGTTTTCTATATGTTCTCTTTATCTTTGGTTGTGATCAGTTTGACTAGGATATGCCTAGAGTTTCTTATATTTATGTTGCTTGGAGTTTGCCAAGGTTCTTGCACCT